GTAAAGACGTAATACACTACTCATAAGGTTGCTGAAAACTCCAGTGGCCAACGGCCGGTTGTCTTCCTTGGGCTGGGCTTATGAGTTAGGCGCGGTACCCAAGCTTCCCTCAGGTTTGTATTCTACCTGAACATAAATTGGACAGAATCCGACAAATACTCTCATCTGCACACGAGGTTGGTTTGCACAGGAGACAAATGGATCCAGCCAAATATCCCCTTTATGATGGTCCGCTCGGTGCAGGACATTCAGTTATGTGCAGATGAGTGCATTTCGCTAATTCCGTGCAATTTGAATTCAAGCAGAACATAAGACTGACGGAAATTCGGGGACTAAGCCTGTCTGATTAGCCCCAAAGAAGGCAAAACAAGTCGTAGGCTGTCGACGAGATTTCAGCGACCTTGTACTTAGCGCGCTATGCCTGTACAATGTATTGCGATAGTGACGTATCGTACCAGCTGAAACATGAGATGGGCTGGTGCAGCACAGCCAGTTGTCCAACGTCATAATTGAGAGATTCAGCCGGTTTCCGCGTGAGTATCCCGTCAAAACCAAAGTTGTACGCAGATGAGTGGAAGTTGAAAAACTTGGGAGCCACCAACGCTGTTTGCGTTTGAGGATGGAGTCCATGTGACCCTCTCTGTGCTTGCCTACAGACACTGAACAATATGGTGTCTAAACGATGTCAATGTCGTTCTCACTGTCAAATTCTATGCAGGTTGTCCGACTGAGTGCTGGAAGTGTAGGCAACCCGGATGTTTTTTGCAGGGTAGTTCTATTCCGCCCTTTTCTCTCTTTCGATTATAGGGCTTTGTTCAGATAAATTGACACGGTTGTATGGCAGTGCATCTCCACGGTTCTCACCGGGGTGCAGCTGTCAATGATGATGATGATGATAACTGGACTTCAAGTGATATTGACGAAGAAGTGTACAACCTTGTGAAGAGCTTCTCCAAAGGCCATCGCCTAAAGTTAATATAATAATAAGTCTTTTGGTTGATTCAAGAGATGATAATCTACATGCGATCTCCAAAATTCCTTAACAGTAAATACTCTCGGCATTGTGTGCGGCGTGGGAAGGTCAACACATATCTCAAATACAGGGTTTTGGCAAAAGGTGCACTGTTATTTCCCACTTTGATTGAAATATAGCACCACAATGGTGGTATTCTGTTCTCTCAAAACCGCCTAGGTGACAAACGAAGCCTGCGTAAGGATGACTCATTGTCGAAATTCTGGGAGATGGATGCTGTTGCATGTACGGATCAGTTCTCCGATAACTACGAGCTGTGGGATTTCCGTTACCACTAAGTCACTGATTTCAGAAAAACCGAAAAACTAGTCGTTGAGCCCAACCGAAGATTGAGAATACAGGAAGCTTTAAATGATGTTAAAAGTGAAATGGGCTCAACTGGTTTTAAAAGTGAGCATTTGAGGAAGAAGCTGAACTTGAGTGCTGAATTATATGGATGGTTTCTTTTTCGAAAAAGTTTGGTGACAATCGGTAGATTTATTGCTGGGCAACGTTTCGCTTTTGACACAAAAGCTTCGTCAGGCCAAGTGACTAGGTTCCGAGGTTGATCGAGATTTAAGGCGGAAGGAGAACCAATCAGCTAAGTCAAGCTAAATCTCTGTTGGGTGTCGGCCGAGGGATTTTAGTGTGTTAGAGTGGTTGAACAAGTGTTGGGTCGGTGGGGAAACCTACATGTGTTTGGGTCCTGCCTAGGGTCTAGTTCTTCTGGTTCGGTTCATTTGATGGTTCCTCTTGAACTTCGTTTGAACCTTCTGTTAGTCCGTGTGGGTGAGCTAGTGCTAAGAAAGTTGTGCAGGAGGGATGCTGTGACCTTTGGTCGGTTGGGGTTTCCACTCCTACCCCCCGGTTTTTTCTAATGATCCTAAGTGGATTGACAACCAAACCGTCAAGTGTCAACTCGGTTTATCTAAGACCGCTTTCCATACACTCGCTAGCTCCACACCCTCGATTCTATTCACGCTGTGATGCTTAGTGATTTCCACCGCCTCGGCTATCAGCCGTTGTGGTGTGAATCGCAGCCCCCGTCTCATGGTTTCCACATTCTCCAGATCTATTCTATGTCTCGTGTCTAAGGCATGTACCGCCATCGCTGAGTCTTTGACCAGCGTTTGATATTCCTCTTCACTCCTTGGTAGTTTGTTAATCCTTTTATGCTCACCGATTCTGGTGTGCAATTCCCTGGCAGTTTGTCCTATATAAACCTTAGCACAATCGTTGCAGTTAATTTTGTACACACAATCCCTAGTCCTTTCAGCCGGCAGGGGATCTTTCAATTGCACCAAAACTGAGCGTAGCGTTTTCCCCTTCTGAAAAGCTACTCCAATGTTGGCTAAGTTCAACAATCTTCGAATAACCTCCGATGTTCCTGCTTTATATGGAATGACTGCTGTGCCAATCCATTCTTTACTGGGTCTAGATACTGGAACCAATATCTTCCTTAGTTGTCGCCTAATCAAACTCACTGGGTATCCTATTTCTTGAAGTTTGTTGGCAATCTCGATTTGAGCTGCCGTCCGGTCGATCTCTTCTGTGCACAGCGCTCTAACTCGACGAAACATCGATGAGACAATGCTGGCGTACACGGACTTTGGGTGTGCTGATGAATAGCTTAAGACGGTCCCCGTGTCTGTTGGTTTCTGGTAGACAGTCGTTTTCAATTTCCCACCAACCTTATGTGTTATACAGCCCAGAAAGGGTAATGTGCCCGATGTGGACTCTATCTCCACGCTAAACTTAATGTGTGGGTTTAAACTATTGAGATAGTCGTGGAAGCTGTTTACGTTGTCTCGTTTGATCACAACAAACGTGTCGTCAACATAACGCCAAAAACTTTGGGTGGACAATGATATCCGGCCAAAGCTATTTGTTCGAAGTCCTGCATGTAAATATTGGCTAAAACTGGGGATATTGGAGATCCCATTGCAAGGCCTTGTTCTTGTGAGTAAACAGTTGTGTCAAAAACAAACTTATCAAGATTCAAACACACTCTTATGCCCTCAACTATTTCATCCACCGAGAGCTGTGTCCGTTCCCCGAGTGTCGTGTCTGCCAGTAACAACCTCTTAGTTACCTCCAGAGCATCTGCCCTAGGGATGTTTGTGTACATTGATATTACGTCAAAACTCACGAGGACTTCGTCCATCTCCAAAGGAAGCCCTGCGACCTTGTTGGCAAAGTCATACGAATTCCTAATGAAGGTGCTTGATTTCCCCGTGAGCGGTTTTAGTATACTAGCTAAGAATCTGGCCAGTTCATGCGGCGGCGAGCCTATACCATCCACTATTGGCCTTATCGGTACATCTGCCTTGTGGATTTTTGGCAGTCCTTGACTTTGCTGATTGGTTCTCCTTCCGCCTTAAATCTCGATCAACCTCGGAACCTAGTCACTTGGCCTGACGGAGCATTTGTGTCAAAAGCGGAACGTTGCCCAGAAATCAATCTACCGATTGTCACCAAACTTTTTCGAAAACGATGACTACCCAATCGGTTTCAAGTATTTTCCACGTGATTGGATGGCGTTTCATGTTTCAAGTATTTTCCACGTGATTGGATGGTTTCCGTTTCATGTACCAGATAATCGCATACAGGAACAGAATCGTACTGCTCATCGCGACAATGAGGCGTTTCTTTCATGCGGCCGCAGTCTCCATATTAATGGAATCAGCGATGCAGCTTTGGTATTAAAACCTCCACAACCAGTCTCACTTTTCTCGTGTGCGTACATGGACTTTCCCGTTTGACCTTGAGGCCATCAATTCATTTGTGACTGCCCTTGTGCACGCGTGACTTGCTTTGCATGCTTGAACCTGTTTCGCTTGCGTTGTTTATATCTTCATAATCCAAGTGGATCATTTGTCGAGAACCAAAATCAACCGCCGGTAATTTGTTGTGAACTAACTTTTTCAATCGATAGTACCCTATCGTTAGCCAGTTCTGATTCTCTGTTTGTGGGTCACCTTATTACGTGTCGATCGAAGTCACGGTATCGGTCGATATAAATCAGCCAGACTTTTTGGGTCATGCAGAACCGGAGAGACAAACATCTACCAGAGATCAGGATATTCGGACATGTGTAGGTATGTTCCCATGAAAATTGAGCCTCGAGAGACTCAATGAAATAAGACGGCTGCTTGCTGTTCTATTCCAAGAGCGCCGGGTTCTTCACTTGTTTCCTTACAATACATGCATCCAGGACGATATTTTATAGTATCTTTTCATGGAGTGGAAGGTAAGCAGTCTTCCCAGAGTGAAAGAGCATCTGGAAATAAAGGTTTCCTTCTCTGATATAAATAGTATAGGATGATTATTCAAAAACTGCAGACAGTCGACTGCTACTTTCGGTCCGTTTAGATGGTCTCGGAGTCTTATTCAATCATTCTTGAATTTGCCGTTCACCTTCGCACTCATACGTATGAAGAAATCGGCGATGTGCCTTTCGCGGATTTTCCGCAATGGTCCCTTACCTACGTAGATAAACACAACTGAACATATTCGCAACGGAACTTCGAGGCAGTCTGTTTGCTGTACACAATGCGGAAGAATATCAATATGCTACAGACCACGCGGGACTCCATAGTCTTCAACCCTGGCAATTTTAACATTCACATGGACTTGAGAAATAAATCCACAAACAAACTGGGCTACAAATATCTCAAAAAGGATCACGTACCTTCATTGTCTCAGCATTCTGAAAGGCCCTGGATTTCAGGAGGCAGCACAACTGTTGGGGTGACCTTTTATGCATTAGATAGACACCAACTAGACTGTAGACGAAGCTGGAATAGTCATGGGTCCAGGTGAGTTTGATGTAGTTGGGCATGGCCGGGGAGACACGGAGCTGGAACAAGATGTGGGACAGCACGGTTGATGAGATAGGTTAGTCACATGAAACAAAGAATGTCACTAAAGAATCTGTGAGGAGCGGGACCAAGAACACAGTAACCCTACACAAAGGAGAAGAGGGTTTTTTCATAAAGGAAACTACTCACACGGTTGCTGAAAACTCTTCAACAGCCCACGACCGGTCTGGCCCTTCTTGAGACGCGACAGGTAGGCGCAGTACCCGAGTTTCCGTCAACCTCACGTTCTACTTGAACCCAAACGGTTTCATCGCATCGGAACATTTCTTGGGCAGGATACTATTCACTAAGTCGAAACTGCCCTCACAAATTTTCCATTTGGATCAATTGCTCGCCGACGACCTACATCCCGTAGTTGTGTCCGTGTCCAGTTGGGTGAAACGCTTAAGGTAAAGTGACTAAACTTTGTCCGAACGACTTTCTATAAACTGACGGCTCATCAAAGAGGAGTTAGGTACCGGCAGGGGTATAGTAAAATAAAGAACACCATTATGTGAAGTACGGCAGCTTGTGGTCCACGAAGTCGACAAAGTCCTTACCACTCAGGACACCTACGGCTAATGCTGGAGCATCAACCAGCGCAGTAAGTGGTGGACGGTCTCGTTTTACTGTTGCAGACGATATGCCTTCCTGGCGAAGCTTCGCCTGTCCGTACCGGTGCGTGTGTTGCGGTCGGGGAAGAGCATATTTCGCTAAAGGGCAGCATGTAGCACGGTTACGACATTTCCCAGTTGCCGTAAATGTTGATGAAACACACGCAACGAACCTATTTAGTTGAGTCTTTTCACAGTAACTGATGTATGGCACGTAGAGACATGCTTTACAGTTTCTGGACCACAGATGGCACGGCTACCGGGCGTCCGCTTACGTATACCTTTGTGGAAAGCGGGTAGTTCCTTTGCGTTTAGCTTGTTCAGAGAGATGGTGCGCGAACAGCAACAAGTGAAGACAAATTAGCGCCACAAATAAGGGCGGCCAGAGTCGTACCCGGCTACGATGTCCTATTGTGCTATATACATGTTCGCAAAGCTATCAGGAAGCATGTACGTACTATATGCCATCCGTGCATTTTGGTCATAGATAAGCTACCAACAGCTGACATATTCCACCGTGCACGTGAGCCGGGGTCTTTTAGCTGTATGTATAGACTGCCTAGTCAAGCAGTTTCAACTAGGAGTCGCAGGCTTCTTGGTTTAGAGTAGCGTTTAATGAACGGTGTTACAATTGGCACTGTCCCGGAGACGACTGCAGACCCGGTATTCCTCGCCATCCGACACGAAGAAATTTGACCTTACCGTAGTGTGATGGTTTTTGCACCTCGGCGACCCGCTCAGCTGTACTGGAGACTTTCCGCCCGACAACCGCAGAGATTGACGATGGTTTGAGATCTAGTGAACGCAGCCTCCAGATCCAACAGATTGGGGATTGGAACATATGGCGACGTGTTCCGTAGAAATGGTAATATACCTCTATTTCCAGCCAAACACCGTTGCCTTGCCGCCAAAACCTATCGTCCTCCTGCCTAAGTGATGGCGTCCTGGCACTATCCGAGCCCACGTAAAACCATGAACTGCACATATACAAATAAACTCATACCATCTCGGACACCGCGTGGTGCCTCCAGAGGGGTCGCCTTACTCACTGCATACAGAAGTGCAGGTAAGCAAAAACATGATACTACTGACGTCCCCCTTTTCTCCCTTTTTCTTCCCTCTCTCCCCATCCCATTAATAACCAACTCCTTGTAGGCTCAGCAATTAGGACTGATGACTCCGTTTGTCCTCCATCGGTTTCGCAGGTAACATCTGTGCGTCATCCGGCGCCAACATCTTCAGGCATCTCGAAATCAATATCCAAGCTTCGACACCCAGTCTACCAGGCCGCTTTCAACATCCACACGCTGAAGCAAGCAGGAGAACAAGCTGCTCTTGCTCTCACACTGGACTCGCTTGGCACTGATGTGTGCTGTGTCTCGGAAACACGAATTCAAGATGCAAGCACAGTGGTTGAGCTAACCACCCCGTCACTCTCCACTCGCTTCCGGCTGCGCATCTCTGGTGATGCGGAGGCTGCTGCGGTGGGATACGCACCGCAAGTGTGCACCGTCCCAAGTCACCGGGCGGAAGTATCCTTACTTGACTGGATACCCGTTCATAATCGACCCTATGCACTTCGTCTGGCAAAGTCTGTGAAGGATTCTCACAAGCGGAAAGTTGATCGATGTCTGTTTACCGTGTCTGCTTACTCCCCAACTAACTAGCTCCAACGCCGTAAAAGACAGGTTTTACGACGCCCTGAATGCCCAGTTGCGGCGAGCTAAAACAATGGATATCGTGCTGGTTACCGGAGATCTGAATGCACAAATGGGCAGGCTTAGCGTATCTGAGACTCAATTAGGAGGTTGACAGAAATTAGCATCGGACTGCTTCATCCGTGTACTGATCGTAGACTGTGTTTACGCAGCACTAACGTCCGAACTAGCCGAAGTCGTCTGGCCACAAACTCAAATCGATCACACTGCCACCAGTTGCCGATGGCGCGAACCAATAACTGACTGCCGTTCGGTTTGGAATACACCCATGGATTTCGACCATTCACTCGTCCGGAGTAACTTCTTCCTTCGTTTTCCTGGGCCTCGTAAAGTGCGGAAAAATTGCTTGACAACTGAAAGGCTAGTTGATTCGGATGTTAGACGCATTTGCCAAAATCGTCTTCTAGAGTCACTTCCAAATGCTCCACCATCAGATGTGAATTCGTACTATGACCAGATGACCACTTCTGTGCACAGCACTGTAAGTTTTGCTTGTGGCACGTCGCTACCAGGCTCACTCAAGCACTTGATATCAAACCAAACAGTCGCATTGCTTAAATCTCGGAGAAATACCCCAGGCGGCGCCGAGCGTAACTTCACGCGACGAATTATCAGACGTCTAGCGAGTGTGTAAACCGACCGTGAAGTCTAGTGGACAAAGAAAGCAAAGAAATCGGAAGAAGCCCAGAAAGCCGGTAATGCCCGAAGATTATTCCAGTTGATCCGGTCTCCGGCAACCATCTGTGAGCGAAACCATCAAGGATCAGAAGGGATTGACCGTCTGAATAAAAAAGAACACCTCGATCGGTGGACCGAATACTTCGAAAAATAGTTATCGTGGCAACTAACTGCTACCCATTAGGAATGGGGAACTTTGATGCCTATGAGGATGAACTGAATGCTTTCATGGTGATTGGCCAGATAACTTGACTCACGAGCATACGGCATACACAATTTATTACAATATTTGCACCTTCTATCCATGTATCGGAATATCGTGGGTACAATTCATATGCTGAAAGCATTGCGTTCTTCAAATGTCACACGAGTTATTGGAAGTTAAGGTTTCTATCACGATACTTGCTCGGAATTACACTTCTCAAGATACGAGGGCACAGGCTTCCGTATAGTCGGGTAGAGGATAACAGACAAAATATGGAAAACTCCCGCATATTTTGCGTCAACGAGTGTATTCCAGGCTGTAGCAAGTTCCACAAATTATTGTGGCTACACAACTACCGCCAATTTTAAACATTTTTCGACAAGCTGGGACATTATATTTCATTAAGCGCTGTTTTCTAGCACCGAGTATTTATAGACTTTGAAGAATAGTTTCTTTAAACAAGTCAAACATACGAAGAAGTCACAGAGAAACGCATTGGGCGTGGACATTTCCAACTACGAAGAAGTGACCTCGTGATCACCGCAGTCTCCGAGAAATCATTTTCATTTGGCGGATACCGATCGAAGCTTGGTGGGGTGAAAATTCTTCCTATTTCAAACGCTGCGCTTACAATGGCATCGTCTTATGAAATGGGTGCAGCAAAGCGTTCGTCAGTCAACCGTTACAATGTCAAACAAATGAGTTCGGATTGGAGTCATGTAGTGGTATCGCTCTACGTATTGCCCGAAATGTGGACGAGCACAGAGCGGGGGCTTACTGATGTCTACCTGACTGCTTTTGACTGGTCTCCTCAGGTGGCTTCTCCAGCTGGGACGCTATGGGGGATGGTGGCTCTGGGAGTGCTAGAATCCGATGCACATGTTTGTTTCCGATACCCAGCTACTTTTGGACGTGTGCAGCAGCCTGGTCTGTACTGTTCACTGTATGCACGTGTATCGCGATATCTCGCATATCGCGCCAACTGAAACATGAGGCGGCCTGGTGCAGCACATTCCGTTGCTTAAAAACATCGTAAACGAGAGATTCAGCTGGGTTTAAGGTACTTCTTCCATCCAAACTAAATTGGTGTGCAAATGGAAGTGTTTCGACGGAGTGAAACTGTCTATCCACGATACTCTTTTTGGCAGGTAGGTGCTACGCATGGGTGCTGAAATAGTGCCGATCTACCCAAGCGACAAGTTCGAAGATTAATTTGAACGAGGGACCTTCTAGCTTACACATTATCACTTATGCCAGAGTTGAAGTTCGACAGATGCGAATGCATCATCCTCAAACAAGCAAAAAAGCTGACAAGGCATGAAAATTTCCTAGGGTTCACAGCCATGAACCTATATGAAACAGAACTTACAAACTGAGTAATATTCACAGGTCGTGGGTTCCGGCGTCCATCCATTCCGGGGCGGTTGCTCGGCAACAGTGAAGGAAGCTGAACAGGATGGCCATTCACCTGAATTGCCAAGTGAACCGGTAGGCTATCTTCGCTCATTTGTAGCGGAGGAGCTACCGAGGATTCTTGCTCAGCAAACAGGCCGTAGGCCTTGGATAGTTGCTCACAAAAAATAGGGTCCAGGCGTGCGAAACGCATGATTACCTGAATACCAAACTCCATTCGATCAGCTGTCGTCCGCCTACTGCAAATGAAGACGGAAAATGCCATAGTACGTTTCGATAACACTGTGCGCTGACAATCAGTTGACAAGAGATTTGGGAACGAAATAGCAGAGAGCACGCCACACATAGATGATAGGAAAGGAAAGATATGTTGAGCATACGTAGGCATATGTAACACTTTTTGAAAAACTAGAGGTCGAAGCTGACCAGATAAGTGATGAAGGCTGGAAAAAACAAAGACAGCACGTGATCAGGCTTAGGAACGTTGTCAGTCTCTATCCAGACTGTCCAAGTGAGTGTTTGGAGATCTGAGCACCTCAGAATGACAGTGGTAAACTAGTAATAAATCCGTTCCACATCCACTTTTATTCCCTTCCTCATAATAAGGCCTTCAAATCGGCATCGAATACTAGTGTCCTGCTGTCGGTCATGATGAAAGACGTATTTCGTCCGATCAACTTTCGCCAAGGCCTCAGAGATAGCTAATTGGCGATTTTTCATCTCTCCTATTTCAATTCGTCATGCACGCAAGTACAGACAGGGGCTATGTGGTGTCGCGGTAAAAAGGGAACTGTTCACCATGGTGTTACGTTTTCGACGGGTCTTATAACGCGGAGTGGATAGCGCTTCTTAGGGTTCACCTAGCCCTGTCTACAAACCCAAGTCCAATGTTTGGTCACTTTCGTGAGTTTCGTGGTTAGATACCCCGCTATTTGATTGATTATCCCATTAAAGCAAATCCACCCTGTTTTCTTGTCAATCCGTTTGATCCTCGTGGCAATCCAGTACATTACCTTATTGTGACACGATAAAAGATTGTCGTCTACATACACTAGAAATAGAACACACCGATGACCGTATATGCAACGGTTTCCTCTTACAGTTCACATGGTTGACCGGAAATTGGTGTCTGAACTGTCAAATAGTTCGATTTGATCAATACGGAGGTTCACTAATCACTACAACGGCTGTGACCTGATATCCAATTTTTGTGTTGCGAAATAAATCATGCGAGAAAGGGGATGCTCCACCCTACAAAAATACCACTTTCCTGTACAGACTGTGATTGTAGGATCAAAGCTTTATTGGATAGTGGCAGAGTGGATATGCACAAAAACTAATATGTGAAAAATAAATCAAGGAACGCATCGCTAAATTGTGCCGTTTCTGTATCGCCTAGTTGGTTTCCGGTTAGCTTCATAATCCTGATTCTCAGACAGGGGTTTGAAACGAACGACGAATCCCATGGGAATCAGCTTCTGGTTTAACCTCCTCTGCAGAGACAAACTAACCGAAACAGCCGAAAGTCATAGCCACAAGGAGACTGGTGACCAGCTGGCTAAGAATCCGAAATGGGCAAGCCCTGATTAGCCTAAATATCGCCCGACTGGAGCCGAGCGTTTCAAGTCTTCCCGCCAAAATTCTGACATGATCTTTTAGAGGAAAAGGTAACAAGTGCGTAAATACACTTAGAGCATTCTACATTTGTTCAATTATATTCAGTCACAAGCTTACGAGCCTTGTGCCATACGCCACTGGATGGTACTTTATAGGGCGTTATGCGGTTGCACTGTCTGTAGGGTGACTCAAACAAAAAGTAGGACTTGGTGAATGATCGGCAAAGTCACAACTGTGGTACTGTAACTAATTTCTGCCGATGTTTGCGGGAGTACTTACCAGTGATAGGTTATGGTTTCCGCTTGGTCTGCAGTAAACCGTAAGCACAACGAGCGATCGTATGACCTCCGCCCCGTAGCAAATCCGATGTGGGTGGGAGTGATTACTTGGGGTGGATAGAGTACATCGATTTCCTTAAAGAATGGGGACTCTTGAAATCGGAACCCGTGGAGGATCGCAGGCAAACGAAAACACCCATCGACTGAATGATTGGGTTAGAGAAAAATGGAAGATGTTGGAAAGGTACTGGAAAATACAAACGAATTTCATACAGTTGGCCATAGGAGGGAAAGCGCATATGGCAGGCATTTCACGGCGAGGAAACCGGGTGTATCAGGGCTGAAAACAACTGACATACCTAGAGACAGACCAAATAGCTGTCACGCAAGTCCTTCGGAAAACTCGAAAACAAAACTGGATTCAAGCGAAACCAACCTTGATGAAGGCATAGTAGCACCTGGTTCTGGATATCACTCACGTGTCTAGTCACTTTATTTTGTCATGAATGCAAGTGGTGCCCAAAATATACCTGGGGTCGTGGATAACCCAAACGCTTTCATGATTACATCCGCGAAGCGTGATGTAGTGCTTAAGCTACTTTCATCTCAAGCAGCAGTAATAAGAAGTAAGTTGAATTTTCAGCATACGAATACACAAGGTTATTACCCGCCGGAGTAAGGAATCGCAGAAACCCAACAGGTGGGACTTCCAGTAGGTAAACGTTTGTAAGTGGAACGAGTGTACCATTTAGAAGGTGGTTTAATGAGTACGAGTGAAGAGGTTGAAAAAATCGAGAAGAATTCGTTGGGTTAAGTTGGTTGCCTACCGTGAAGCTAACCAAGACATTCTTAGAGGTTATACTGCACACAGAAAGGTATTTTAACGGCCCGACAATAGGGTGATAATCCTTCTGAGGGAGTTCCAGGAAGCAGGAAAAAGAACAATAAATTCGATGGGGGAGAATGTAAGCACCTATCAGATATTTCGCCGTGGAAGTTCGGGGCTGGGGCACAGACACCATAAACAGTAATGAACTGATAGCTACTGAATAGGTCATTGCAAGAAAAGACAACAATTTGGTATTTTGGGATATGGGAGTGGGGTAAGAGAGCGCTCTCCTGATCAGCTGAAACCTTCGTTCAGTACAGTTTGTAGCTGTGGATTTGCCCTAGGCATGCAATAACGGCAACCGATCATTTTGTCATCTGAGCATTCACACTGGGTGTGCGGCATACCTGTAACATTCGGTGAACGTTTGTTGATTCCTTCACACCGACCGACACTTCATGACTCTCATTCGACATTTCAGACACTGCTTGGAGTACAAACTTCACCCGTATTTTCCTTGACATTTACGTTGGATCTGCTCAAAGACCTGTGGTACAACCTTGAATGTACGTTCGTATTGAATCATTGCTATGTATTAACCATTGACACTTCTATTCAATCAATAACCGTTGTTTATTTGTTGTTATTACAGAACCATACCGAATACAACGACAGTCTTCTCAACTTAACAAAGGACTTCGGGTGCGTATACTCAGATAGTATCTCAGCCGCATATCTTGCATCAATCACCTAGGTTCAAAGTGAAACCTAAAATACCTACAATGAATAAAGTGGAAAACAGCACCCTGAGGGACATTGCTGTTGGTCAGCAATGGAGAAGGGAAGAATCACCTACGAGTTTCCATCTCGTGCTGCTTTTAAAATGGTTCTCGGTTAGCTGAACCAATCTCTGTTGATCCCCAGCCTCAGTGAAAATCTGCCTAAAGCGTCCTATATCAGCTTGAGGAAACAATCAATGTAACCAATCAACAACACACGTATCCAGTGGTGACAGAGTGGACTCAGTCTACAACAGTATCTATCTACCACGGGGTCAGTCAGAGTGGAGAGAATAAGTGTTATCAACTGCAAAACGTTCCCTTATTTGAACACGGAAGTAGTGCGTATCTCAGGCATCAGAAAGAATAATTCGAAAAGACATACAACTAACAGGTGAAATCAGTCTGAGGTCTCACCAAAAGACGCGAAAGTCTTTTTGGGTAGACTAGGAAAACAACAGACGAACAATTAGAAATGGTAAGGAAAAACTTAGAAAGATTCTTGTGAATATATTTCAACCAACACAGTTTCCCGGAAACGACAAAGAGTAGCCTAAAATTTGAGAAAATTTCGAACAGTGTAATCATCCTTAATATCATGCAAAGCAGTGATATTTACTGAACTGTCTAGAACGTTGCGCTCGTTCTTTTATGCATACTGAACGAAGGGCGGTGAAATTCGGCGCGATACCACCTTCTCAATGAGCTTACCAGGAGGATTTGATGGAAAAACTGTTTGCAATGTTGTGGAATGTAGGTATGAAAAACTGTTACCAATGGCCTTAGAAATAGGCCTAATGCAAACAAAGTTCCCTACTTAGATGAGGCGGAGAGAAAGTTGCAGATGACCCATTCACGCTGATAGTCTATCAGTACAGGACTTCTGTAGTTGAGTTGAATTACCACCGTATCCAGACCAAACGGCTAACGGAAATGATTCAAGTGGAAAAGTTGTGATGACACAAAGAGAGAACACAATAACTGTCAAACACAAATCTATATGGTGTACAGAACTTAGCTCGGGAAAAGTGGTATGGCATGTGCGTGAAGTGTGCTGGCAGTGAGGTTTCCTGATTGTCTATGGACCTCTTGAGTTCTGTCCTGTGTATACGCACGCGTAAGTGTCAGTCGCATTCGGTTGCAGGTGTATTTATCGTACGTAACGTGAAAACACTATAGGAAATCACATACGGCCGCCACAAATACCCTCTGGCCAGAACTTGGAATCAATGAGGGTTAAACTTCACGTTTCTGAAGAATGGCTATTCGCTCGAGGTCTATTGCAGCCGGTATGTCTATTCAGTCGGACGCTGGACGCGTCATGGGTCGTCGGCCACGACGTTATCCTGGCCGGGAATATGACGAACGTCGTTAATGAGCTGTGAGATGTAGTCAAAATGACGCACTTCACGTGGAGGGTACCTGTCCGGTTTGGCGAGGAGGACAGAGATTAATTAAAACGGCTCCTATGGGTGTGCTCGAAACACCACGTGCAATGAAAGTTAGGTGTCTTGCCAAGAATGAAACAATCTTAAGGAATCCACGAAAGTTGTTTTAACATGTTGAAAAGCATTCAATCCCGCCTCATCCTTGTGGAATTCATTAGTATCAATAACTTACAATTTTGTGGGCAGAGACTATGGGTGGCGTGAGGAATGAAGCGACGGTAAAAGTAGACCGTAAAAATGTTCAAGTTGTTTAAAGGAAGTGAGCGTGAACCCCATCGAGTTTTTCAGTAATCGACAGTGATCCAGAAAAGTTACTGAGGAACCAAAGATGCTTTTACGGTGGTCAGTTACAACGTCACAGTCTTTCAATTTGAAAAAAAGAATACGTAGCTGTTCAAGATGCTGTGAAACATTGTTGCTAGCTACTAAAATATCATCGAGGTATGCAGACACATAAGGCAAGTCGGAGAGAACTTGGAATGTTTGAGTTGCGCAATCCAAACGGCATTCTGACAAATTCAAATAAAACGAAAGGGGTAGTAACTGCCGTTTTGTGAACGTCTCTCGGGTTGTTGGGAATATGGTGATAAGCACGAAGAACATCACTATGAGAAAGTATGGTATAGCCATGAAAATTCAGGATAGTGACCAAAAGCCCGCCAAGCTATTGCGGATCTCCTTGGTAACGTGTGAAGTGGGTGAGCCCAAGTGCTATTCGATGGATGAATGATTCCCAACTGTGGTATACGTTGGAACTCATCTTTAGCAATCTTCAATCCCATAGGGTGCAAGCCTCTTGGACGTTCAAACATAGGTCACCTCTGATGGTCACGTGATGCACGAGAGTCTTGTGGCTCAGGCTGACGAAAATTTGGCTTCACTAGCTCTGAAAACTCACATAGTAGGTAATGGTAAGGAGAATCGCCGTGGAGTGGTAGAGTGACAGAACAAATAGAAGGAGGGCTATTTGAGTGGCTTACGACCGATAGGTATGCAGCGGGATCTAATAGACTCTGACGTCTATGGTCTACACATAAATTGAAGCGGACCACGAAATCAGCTCCCAGGATGGGTTGATGACCATCTGTACGGGGGAGAATTCATGGAAAATCGCGGAGTAAATTTAGGTTGAAACGTAGCTCGCGTTGATCGTAGGTTTTGATAACATGGTCAGACTGGAAGCATATGGTGGCGAAAAGAAGGAGTTCTTCGCTGCGGAGCTGTTTATTAGTAGACATTAACTGAACAGTTACAGACTACTGGACAAGAAAGCAAAACTCTCATATGCACCTTCATTTTAAATACTGAATATCCGTCTTGTTCTAGAACGCGTTTTCTTGAACTTTCCTGGATATTCATCGACAATCACGCAAATGTAAACGAATGCTACAAAGCAACTCCACTAATTCCGTAATAAACCCCACCCTCCGTTAGATAAAGGCGTAGTTACGAGAAACCACAAACTACTCGCATGTCTCATCGGTAGTATCCACCGTTACAGTGGTAGGGTAGAATGTAAAAAAGGTTGCAAGGGTAACGCTTACGTCAGCGCAAGTAACAATAAGGAAGTTCTGTCCAAAATGGTGAATCCGCGAGTGTTATGGTAAGGACTGTCCGATCGGGCAGTTTCCCAGAGGTGGCGCTGGAGAACGTGCTGGTTCGTGAAACGACCAAGGTTGGACAAACTTACGAAGAAAATGTCGCAGAACGAAAACGTAGAAGCGCGTATGTCAGCCGGTGTTCAAATTGTTGCTGACGAGAGCCTTGTCGATCTGGAGTACGCAGATGATATCGCCCTCATCTTTGAAGACCATAGCGAAGCACAAGCCCTGTTGAATAAACTGACCGCCATCATACCATCATTTCGCATGCGCCTTGCACCTTCAAAGTGCAAAGTCCTGCTTCAGAACATGCCATCTGCGAACATATCCCTTACAATTCAAGAAGAACCACTGGAGATTGTGGAAAACTTTACATAACTCGGTAGTTGTATTAGCTACGACGGAAGTGGATCTGATGAAGTCAGTGCAAGAATCTCAAAGGCTCAAATCACGTTTGCTAATTCGCGCCACTTGTGGCGTCAAAATGGCATCTCACTGGATCTTAAGGGTCGTGTGTACCAGGCTACAGTAAGGGCTGTGTTGTTGTATGGGTGCGAGACATGGCCTCTTCGGGTAGACGATGTGAGGCGTCTTCAGGTTTTCGACCACCGATGCCTCAGAAGCGTGGCTGGTTTCGGATGGCGTCAGCGTATCAGCAACGAGGCGATTAGAAAACGGGTATTTGGTTGTGCTGCAGGCACCTCAATCCGGGAAAACATCCAGCATCATCGACTACGATGGCTCGGTCATGTGCTACGCATGCCAAAACACCGTCTACCGAGACGAGTGTTGTTCTCCGTGCCTCCTTCAGGATGGCGCAAACCGCGAGGTGGACAGCACATGACTTGGCAAAAAGGTGTGAAAGAGATCACGAAGAGTTTGGGTGTTGTTGGTGTTGTACGCCTCCCAGGATGGGGTCCCGGTGACCCCGTCTGTGCTTGGCTGGAGACGTTGCAAGAAATGGCGTTCTTGCTGTCAGTTTCTTTTCAGACTGTCTGATTGAGCAGTTGAAGGTGTGGGCATCTCAGTATGCTTGACATAGGCCAGCACTAAGTCCCCTCCCTCACACACTTTTTATCTTCTCTTCACTGTAGGGCTTTTAATACAATTATATATACATATATATATATATATATGTATAACTAGACGAACCTTATGGTTGTACGGCAGTGAAGCATCAGTAGCAAAACTGATGTTGCTGTCTTTAATGATGATGATGATGATGATGATGATGATGATGCATATGGTGGCGGCGCGAACAAAGTTGAAGGAACATGTGAAGTGAACTGATCAACCTAAGCGAAGTGGTTGAAAAGCAAACAAATTGGAGAAGTTACTAAGTTAACTAGCATGAGATACAGCAGTGGAAGAGAGATTTGAGAAGAGATAGGGCTACAATCAGATCAACCCGTACAACTATTAAATTCTCTTCCACAAAACATGTTCATACAATTCTAAACACCTTTTGTAGGCCATGGATCCGTTTGATGATCGCTCTCTGGGGTGTTTCCTCGAAAACGGGATAAACAAGAAGGAAATCTGCGGATTCTCAATCGTCCCCTTGACGGAGGCGGTTCCTTCTGAGGAACTATCGCCCTTCACGTCTACGGATGGTGGATATCCACCAAATGGCGTCGTCTGGCACTTGTTATAACGAACTTTGACTATCATAGACGATATGTTGGCAACCCCACAGTTATCCTAAATGTATGTCTCAAAAATCTAGAAAATCAATAACAATTATTAATAGTCTTGAACTGAGTTTCCGTATCTTGCATCCCAGAATAAATTCTTCAGTGCAAAGCATGTAACTCAAACGGGTTGTTCATTGGAACAAAGAAGTGAGCCCAGTTGTCGGAACCGAATGATGGACAACCGTTCATTGATGATTGACCATTCCGTTCTTTCATGCCATATAATATTTCGAAAGCCAAGGAGCGACATGCGGTCCCTTTGACCATTCTGAATCAGGAGCCACTGAACTATCATGAACAAGAGGCACGCGGCCAGGTGTCCGTCACGAACAGACTGGACCTTACCAAGGCGTGACAATTTGTGTACCTTCATAACTGATTGGGCTAAACTGCGATGTATATGTGACAATCACACAGACTAGCATACCAGGTTGAAGAATGGGCAGAGATCTGAATAAAACAGTATCCCAGCCCGCGCACAAACATAAATTGAACATTTATGAATAACCTATATGTATTTGGAAGCTTGATTGCTGGAAGCTGTATTAGATATGTTAGCAGTGCGACAGTGAACGCACAAATTTCGGAGGCCAGAATCGCATTTGCTAAGTTGCTTCGCTTGTGCCGTCAGAGAGGTATCAAAAGACGCGTGTGTCAGACTACAGTTCGGGTTGTATTGCCGTACAGCTGTGATACTTGGCTAGCCTGATGTCTCAAAAGCATAGCTAGAATGGGCTGAAATCAGCGAATTCGCAATGAAGTGATCAGGAAACGAGTTTTGTTGAGTCAGAGGATATCCCCCTCAAAGAATGCATCCAGCATTGCAAGCTAAGGTGGCTGGGCCATGTGTTACGCATGCCAAGTCGAGCTCTGTCTTCTGTACCTGATTTAGAGTGACGGAGACCTACGGATGGAGAGGATTCGACATAGTGGAAGAAAATGGAGGTTTTATGGGGGAAGTCTGGATGTCATCGTCGTTGTTTCCTTTTCAGGATGGGCTCAGCACGACCCTCCTTGTGCTTGGCTGGAGACATATGATGGCTAGCCGATCTCAGCGTCGCTGCTGTCGTCGGTAGACTGCCCGAATGAGTGGTGAAATCTCGGATGTTTGTTGTCCTCTAGTTCTACTCCCCTCTTCCTGCCGTAGTTCTTTCTTCTTTTTGAAAAAGCATGGTCACGAGTAAGCTCAAGGCAGCTGAACGAACCTCCATGCGGATTGTCTAGTTGTCTGGACGTACATTTCAACTGACCTCGTCGTTCAGCCGAACTACGAACTCGTGAGGCCATACAGCCGGTACTTCAACCGTCACCTCCTCTTAACCGTACTTTCCAGGTCGAGGATTTCATCCAGAGATAGTCAACTAACATGAGGTAGAAAATAAGCGAAACCGTCTGGCGGAATACACTCATTTGCAAACCAAGTTGGTTTTGTGGGGGACTCCTTGGTACCCAACCTCCATGCGGATTGTCTAGTTGTCTGGACGTACATTTCAACTGACCTCGTCGTTCAGCCGAACTACGAACTCGTGAGGCCATACAGCCGGTACTTCAACCGTCACCTCCTCTTAACCGTACTTTCCAGGTCGAGGATTTCATCCAGAGATAGTCAACTAACATGAGGTAGAAAATAAGCGAAACCGTCTGGCGGAATACACTCATTTGCAAACCAAGTTGGTTTTGTGGGGGACTCACTTGGTACCCAGCTGACTCTCTCGATAATGATAAAACCGTCTACACCTTTGACAGTGAAATTAGTTAGCGTTGGACCTTCCCCGAGTACTAAGCGAACTCAGTTTGCACGCACAAGAATCTTGAACAGACCCACTATCTAGCTATATAGACGGGTTTTAGATTAAAATTACCGACATACCATATTTATACGCTCCGGTTGCTTTCAAGTTGTTCGTCTGATCGATACAAAAAAGAGTGAACAGCGACCGGAAGTCACAAACTGAATGTGGCGAGGGACCATAAGTTGGAACTTCGAATAAGTGGCGACCGAACGATTGAATGGTGGCCTCATTCCACTGTTTACGAACAGCTACAAAGCGGCTTCTGTATACAACAGACCTTTCGTGATCTGACTGATCAGTCGCAATGAAGAACGGTCTGACAAATTAGTTACTTGTCATTATGAAAACACAATACGGTGTATAAAACTTTGGGCAAGGCTACGGTTTAGAGTTGAGATTATAATTTACTATTTAAGCAACTAGCTTACGCCATTCCAACAGTAAGTCCACATTCCCATGTTTATTGCTCTATCAATGACGACTCCATTTATTTTGAATGAAATGAAACAACGAGACAGTCACGTGACCGCTATTGACTCACTCAGACCGTCTGGATAATTGCCCGATTGAGCGCTAGGCGATGGGTGCAGTCAAGTGGCCGTGGGTGGAGAACAAACATAGTTGCTGCGTGTATGAACCAACAAAGGACCGTTCAGCTGTAGCACCCTTTCGATGCCTAAACGCCATGCCTCAAGAAGAAAGCGCAAGAGCTGGGATACTGCCAAGTTACCCAAGCCGAGAGAAGGGAAGTCGAGAAGCAGAGGTAGAGTTCTAATAAGTGACATTTTTGTTAATAAATTCGCGCTCTAACCAATCAAGAAAATTTACTATACATGAGCTAGATGTGCCATGGTTAAATTTCAGAATGCCGAAAGTTCTTCCAACCGGAAGACCCAGAGCCATCGCGCACCTTGGTGCAAGAGGCAACGAATCATCGTAATCTGTATTTACACAGAAATAGCTCAATAACAGCCAGAAATAAACATTTGAGTTTTTGTACATCCTTTTGCGACTTGCCTAGATAAAATCGTTTATTCAATGTCAGTTTTTGTGGGATAAGAATGAAAGTACCCTTTGAAAGTCAACTATGATGCCTGCTTCCAACATTTAAACATCAACCAAGGCCTTTCTAGCTAGGTTAACGAGTCGATCAGTAATTCAAGCGGTCTCAATAGATTGGCGACGGTAGCTCGACTGTCTCACTGACGTGATCTGTTCTCATCTGGAGGTAGTAACAACCATATGCTTATATAAAATTGAGCAGGCCGTCTGGCGTCTCTTTGAGTTTCGGGCAATTCCCGTCGAAGGAGTGTTCGATAATGACAAACCTGGACGTCAATGACGTTAGGGACGCTGGCTTGGAAAAGCGAATGAACTATCGAGCTGAGATAGACACATTATGTTCGGACTAGCTATAACATGCACCCGCGAAGAACTGGTGGTCTTATATAGGTCATTTATCACTCCCAGTTTTAAAAAAATTGCCACTAGAATCAGTCGTCGAGAGGGGTATGGATTAGCGACGAGGAAAATGAACACCCTAAATACTAGGTTTCCAAGAAACAACTGATTGCCATTCCACAGAGTTCCCGAAAGACGATAAAAATTCTGCGCGAACGGAGCATTGTGCCGTCTGGCTCGCAAAATGTCAAGAAGATGCAGTAACGAGATAACAACACACAAAGACTCACTGCCGGCCAGTGTGATTAGAGGAGCGGGAGGGGGATTAGGAACAGCATAGGAATGATCCTTCGTGGCGGGTACACTGCAGGTAGTCGGACAGTTCGTGCAATCCGAGACAGTCACTGGGCAAACATGCATTTGCGGGTTGTTGTGATTGGTGGTGGCCGGAGCCGATGAATTTACACGTGTCGCAGTCCAAGAATCAACGGGCAGTATGTCAGGTTCATCGCCTACTCGCTTCAAAGTCTCAGAACGACTGGATGTCTCACGAAGACGTTGCTGGAATTCACTCGATGCTAAGGAGGCTAGATACATGGGCGAATCTGTCGTGGAATCGGGAAGTGCGGCTGAAACATCTGGAACGTAAATCGGACGGTGCAACTCTGTGGGAGGATGGGCCACATCCAAAGGCACGGCAGGAAGAACAGTAGGGGCTGAAATGGGGCGTACAATAAATCCGGATATTACAGACCAACATTCCGGGAAGAGCAAAAAAGGCGGAGGCTGAATATGGACTCCTTAAGTTAACAACAGTCTGCCGAAACAATGAAACCATCGTAACAAAACTCGATGTATATAAACATTAAATAAAGCAACGAAGCAGATTGGACCCCTGTACTTCGTTGCACTTTGCACTTAGCGAAGAGGCCCCCACAAATATGCATGTGTTCCAAACGCGGAGGACCTCAAAGCTCCTGTTTATTTTCGGCCGTGAACAATTTCCGCCCCGCACTACCATCCAGTGAAGTAAACCGCTAGTTTTCTTGGTTCTATTTAGTAGTTTAGCTCATGAGATGGTTCGAAATTGTTTACCAGTATAGTAGCATTGCAACATCGGAATTGCCGGTTTCGACGACACTGTAGGCACACATAATTTTCCTACACACGAAGATTCGTATGCTGCCATTCAACTGGGTCAACTAAGCAGATATGTTGACACAATACTCTCATTTAACCAGTGAATCTGTTATTTACAACATTCTTCAACTACGTTGGTTACAATTCGGTGTTCAAGCAGAACATAAGATTGATAAAAATCAGGGACTGTGGATACATAAAGAGCCGCAAGAAGGGCGAAACTAGTAGTGACCTGTTGAAGAGAACAGTGAATAGTGCGGATAGTGTGTTTTGTCAAGAAGCAACTATTTTGCTTTTATCATTCAGTGTGCTGATATAGACCATGAACACTGCTACTGTGACTCAGAAATATCACTGACTGAATCTGTGAGCGCCGTGAATATCACTTTCACCACAGGGGCAGTCAACTTTCGTAAAAAATGGTCGTAAACATAGTGAACAACTGGTAAATCAGATGTCCAGACCTGCACAGGAACGATGAAGATCAAGGAAGACTTTGGCAGCACCCTGGAGACTCCACAATCCACTAGAGATCGGCACAGAAAAAGGGATTATCCACTGGGGGGAGGTAGTCATGAAGGTGAAGGTTGTTGTGATATATTCACGCTCATAACCGCCATTCGGAGGGAGGTATAGCAACACCACACGTGTGTTGGTAAGTTTGACGAAGGATATTGAAAACTTGCTTTGATAAGAATAACCAAGGTCACGTTATATGATACAATGCGGACATCATGGTTCACAAGCTGAGGACAATACCCCTGCCCCGGAGAAAAGACTGGAGAAGCGGACATTTTAGTCTCACTCTGGAGAATCACAATCTTTTGGCTAACGAGCCACCTCACTGGGAACTCTACAGAGTATCCGCTTTTTGAAAGAATGGTGGTATCTGAATCTCAAAAGGTGACAAGGGCAGCAAAATATGAGTTGGCTAAAACGTTCGGTCTGCGCAGGATACAAAGCCTGACGCCCCTGAAGACACTACTACTGAATTGGGGAGTGTAACCCCAAGGGATGAGACAAGTATCTCAGTGGTATCGCACTTCAAACAAGTAGACAACTTCAATTCAATAATTCATCAATGAATTGGCGGTCATCGCCAATTACTGTGATCCAGATGCGACGTTATACAGCAACCTGGCGTAGAAAGAGTGCTCATTTGCGAATTTTGAGTTGGACGACACAACGATGAACTAGTCTTGTAAAATGAGTGACAAGATCACAGAACCACTGAGGGGAAGACTCTCCGACCAGAGCTCTAGAGACTACACAAGTGGGTTGAACCTATCAATGTATATAATGTCTCATCCTGAGAACCCTGTCTGGAATGGTACTTATTAACACGACGGACTCTCTACGTTTCGTTTCGGCGTTGGCACCAATTTTATCGAGTCGTCCAGCTGTTACACATGATCAACACAGCTTATATATATATATATA